GGTTTGCTTAACTAATCAGGGATCTCTTCTTACCTCCATTTAAAACTTCTCACAAAATAAGTGCTAAAAAAACCCCAGTTTAACCCAACAGACAGTATCATTTATTACCCAAACAACAAACAAAAAACCTGAAACACATTAACTGCAAAATGCAATTCCATATAAAAACATGGATCTAAGACTGCAAGGTAAAATTAATACAGTTCAGGTAAACAAAAATAATCACCTAAAACCATCTCTCCAGAATGATATGCTTCTCTAAAAAAAACCTTCCAAACCCGTCAGTCACTAAAAGCATAGGAAATTCAAAGTGAGTGTGAAGGTATGGGACTCTCTAATAATGGTAAATGCAGAATTGCATGGTGAAGCAACCTTAAATCTGACTCCAGCAATGATTTGAGCAAAATCAGGCATTCTGAGACTAACCTTGTCCATCCATTACCCACAGTGTCATCAGATCAATGGCCACAAAAGTAGAATGCTTTATTCTCCATCGCTCTGAGGTTGTGCTGACTCTGGCCCTTCTTTACTACCATGCACTCTCTACAGAAAAACACATATTTCACAAATTCCTCACCAGACAAATAGCACATCGAAGTCATCACTCTGCACTTGTCATTCATATTCCATTTACCCCAATTAAACACAGGACTGCAAAACACAGGCTTTTGCAGAATTGAATCTGTTCGGCTCTGCCTACATTTGCCATGCAAAAAGCACTTCATCAGTAAAACAGAGCATGGCTCTTTGGGAAGTGCCGGGCAGGGGGGTGATTCTCACTGTCTAGCACATCCCCAGTACAGGGACCAGCATGCCAGCAGAGATACCTTCTCATGTCCCCCAGTTGTCTGAGCCTGCCTCAGCTCTGACAGTCCCACAGTGTGGAGCTGGTACTGCCATTCACACTCCCTGACTGCCCAGGGAAGCCCTGCTCTGTGTTACAGTGTGCTCTGCAGATACTGCTTGAGTTTGGCGGTGGAGCAGATGTTTAAAGAGGGCACTGGTGATGCTTTGAAACTTCTCTCTCTTACCAGATTGCCATAAAGAATATGAGTAGCAGGACAACAGCATTTTTACACATCTATAGTGTCTGTGCCTAACTTTCTGCTATGCATCACTTATATTGATATTTTTAATGCACTGCAGTAGCTACAGCTTCTCTCTCTCATTTGCAGGCACTGCAACAGAGGGGAACAGGGGAGTTGATGACCAGAAGCTGGAAATGTGGACTTTGAGGCACTGGGAAATATGGACTTTGAGGCCCTGGGGTCGGAGCATTCTGATGTCTCCTTCCAGGCAACTGTGTAGTGGCATTGCATAGAATGGACAGATCCCTCCTATAGGCCTGAGCCAGCTCTGCAGGTGTCAGAGAGCAGATAGAAACAGAGAACCGAGCCCAATATTGACACATAAGGCTATGTCTGGATCCAAAAGACACAAAACATTATTTCTTAAAGCTTTTGAGCAAAACAGAGCTGTGGTTTAAACAAACCTCAGTCAAAGGAAGGCTGCAACACACCACAAACACAAAAGCGCTAGACTGTGCTTTGCTGTGAGCAACATTTCAGACTAGGAAACACTTTTCTAATATCACTGTTTTTCTGCCTGAGTCTGGTGATGGCATTGCTTGTTTTCTTCACAGTTCACAGAGAAGGCCATCAAAAAATAGCCAACTTTTTCTTTCTCTCTGCTGAAAGTCTCCATAACCTTGGTGTGAATTTATAGTCTGTCGTTGCCTTTTGAGATGCCATATGTGCAAGAGAATGAGAGGGAGGGAGACATTTTGTGTCTGAAAATGATGCCACGCTTAGCACTCTTAGAGCATCATGGACAATGTTTGTCATTTAAAGTCACAAGGGGTGAAGGAAGACTTTGTGGCAGGCACAAATATCTCTTGTCCTTGGGGGGAAACAAAAAACCACCCAAGCCAACCCCCCACTCTCTGCTAATCAATGTAATATATTCCATTCCAAAAGGAAGAACGTTCTGAATTGGTTTTTAATTATTTCCCAAGAATAAATCTTCTCTGACAAGAGAGATTCAGCAGCACCCAGTGAAGGGCAACTATTTCTAAGGAGAAGAATTCATTGCAAGCTTCTATTCAGCCTGAGGGTGACATCCTAGCCAGGAGATTTATGGAGAAACTACCACCACCCCTGAATTGTTTGAGTCCCTTTACTTTAGTTGACCCTAATGATTTGGTGTCACCTTGTGGCTTTGCTAGTCCTGTCTTCTCTTGCTCAGAAAATGAACTCCAAAAGAATCTGCAAACACCTTTGCCTCTGCTTTTGCTGTTCCTCTGTCTAGTAGTAGTAAAATAGAAGTCCCTTAGTAGCTCATGGACTAAAACTCCACTTAACAAACACAAAACTAAAGTACACTTTTCTTCACCTGTAAATGTTAGGATTTATTTGCTGGCAACATTTGGACAAATGGCCCATGGTGAAGTAGCTTAGCCTTCCCATCCTCTGCGGCTGGATAGTACTTCTGAGATCCACTGCCTTATGCCTGCAAAGTGCATCACCATGTAGGCAGTGTTTTGGTAATGTGCCTCCCACCCCACCAACTCTTCAGAATCAGTGGTGATGGTGGCACATAGCTGATGGCTATGATGTCAGTGTCAGAAGAGTCTTCACCCTTTAGCCGAACACTCTCATTTGCTATTGTCCTATTTAAGGGCCATGTAGAGACATCTGGAAAGCTATATCTGCATTGTGATGGAAGGAATTCGAATACATTGAAAGCTGCTGGTCCAGGCAGTCAAGAAAGCTGTTTTGATTGTACCCAGGTCCTGAACCAAAGGATACAGGCTGCTTTTCATGCTTCTGGATCCAAGAGCTCTAAACTGATTCAAAGCTGCATTTATGTGTCCCTGGGACTGATGGCCAAGTCACAGATCCCTGCTGCGTGACAAGGAAGATAAGCTCTGACTCTGTACTGTGCTGATGCCATCAATTCTGAGTTAGCTTGTTTTGTTTTCTATCTGTCCCACTCATGGTACAGCATACAGTTAAGTGATTAGGTGATCAGACCTGCAGTATAGAGTGAAAAAGGATGACAAAAATGAAAATTAAACCAAAACAAAGAAATCATGGCATGGTGATAAGTGTCCAATGGGAAATGATAACAATCAATAATACTTTGTTCCTTTCATAGTTTCCTGAAATGCTCTCAACCATCAATGCAATGGCAATACTTTACCTTGGTATTAGCATTACCAGCTAATAGCAGCTTTGAAAGAACATGTTTTTCCAAGAATCTGAATGCTGATATAAATGGTCAAATCACTATGACTCTTCTTTAAAGTCTTGCCAAACAACTACAGGTCAATTATGACATTATCATAGCTATTAGTCATGGTATTATTTACTGTAGCAGAACAACTGTGGGTTTTCTCCCTGAGGTTTTCTGATTTTTGTTCTGCTCTCTTAAAAAAAAAATAAAATTAAAAAATCCTTATTTAAAAAAATAGAAGTTTTTAAATTTTCCTCCCATATTATGCAAGTCCTCTAAAGAAGTTCTCAGCTATCAGCTGGGGGCTTATTTTTAGACACTTTGGACAGAGCCCTTTGAAGTAGCTTCTGGGCTATCTGCTGAAAGCTACTGGAATAAAACTGAAAAGAACCCTGGAAACAGTCACCCTTGCCCACATGTAAATACGAATGTCTTTGTGTTTCGTATTGTGCTCAGCACAGTAGGGAGCTAGTCCAGCCTAGGGCTTTGAGGTGTTATCACAATGACAGTAATGCACAAACAAGTAAAAATAAGACAAGGGGCAGGGGGAAAGAAGCAGATACAAGTGAACAGGGGGAGCACAGAGTAACAGCAAGGTGATTAATGAATGGAAAGCTGAAAAAGCAAGGAGTTCATCTCCTCTTCCAGGCTATTAGCAAATGTCTTTTTTTAGGGTACTCTTCTGTGAGGTCATCCTCCCTTCATACTGGCAACTGACCAGTGGTTTCCATTTCAATACAGAATATATAGAAAACAAGGCACATGATTCTATTTAGCAGGTGTATGTATAAGTCTAAGTCAATACATCTGGTTAAATAAAATATAAACATAGAATCACAGGATGGTTTGGGTGGGAAAGGACCATCCAGTTCTACCCCCCTGCCACAGGCAGGGACACCTTCCACTAGAGCAGGTTGCTCCCAGCCCCGTTCAACCTGGCCTTGAACACTGCCAGGGATGGGGCAGCCACAGCTTCCCTGGGCACCCTGTGCCAGTGCCTCACCACCCTCACAGGGAAGAATTTCTTCCTTATATCTAACATAAATCTCCCCGTAACCAAGTCTGAACCTAACCATTCGATGATTCTATGAGAAGGGTTCACTGCTTGTATGAACAGGGTTTGAATCCGCAGCCACTAGCTGGACAATGCCACAGTTCTTTGCAGGATCATAACACAGAGGCTGTGATTCCTCAGGAGGCACTACTGGATATGCTTTTGCAGTAGCTTTTCACATGACTTTCAGTAAGCAAATCACCCCATTCATTGCAGGTGTGTCAAGACCTGCTAGATGCTAGAAGCATCAAGTGCCCTTTAAGCCTGCAGGGAAGATGTTGAGGGTCATCTCCATCAGGTGCTCTGTCTAGAAAGTGGTGTCAAAGCAACTCACCTGTCAGCCCCCAGGACCTCAAAAAGCCTGGCAGGGTCAGGCAATGGAGCTTGCTGTGTTTTAGTGTCTGTAGGAAGGGTTATGGTGAGCTGCAGGGGTCTCTGTGCTGGTGCTTCCTGCCCTTCAATGTTTAGAGTTTGCATAGTGTTCTGTTGTTATGTTAAGGAGATGTAAAGAATCAGTTTATCTTTCCCAGGCTGCAGTCAAGCTAGAGAAATATGAAGGGTCTGGCTTGCAGCAGCTGTGTCAGATGCTTTCAGAAGTGCTTACAGGCTAGATTCTAAAACTGAGCTAGGGAAACAAAGGGGAAAGATACAAAAAGAACCCTAAGTGTTAGGTGCTGGGCTTGTGGAATGGAAGCAAGACACATCTGCTTGTGGAATGGAAGCAAGACACTTCAGTTCCCAGTGCCCTGTGTGGATCGGATGTTTCAGAAGAATAACAACCTGCAACTTTCTGCTGTTCTCCCTGGAGAAAGGAGGAAATCACGCCCCAGAAGTAGTGTATGGGGTGGGAATCTCCCTGTACTGATCTGTATGAAGAAATGGTTTTAGCCTGTTACAGCCTTATGGAAGAGGAATAGGGGGTGGATCCTGTGGAGCATTGCTGTTGCTTGTGCTGTGTGTATTGATTGAGGGAACAGGTTTCTTCCATATATTCATAGAGGCTCGTTTAGCCTGAGCTGGGACTCAGAGACTGTGTCTCTGTCTGCTTATGATTTATGACTTCAATCCAATTTATGGCCATTTACAAGAATGCTGAACTGGCTGTAAATCAGTAAAAGACCATAAAATACTCATGAGAACTACTGAAATCATCTGGGTGAGCTTCCTTCCCACCCAGAGCAGCCAGATGAGGGCAGGAAGATGCAGCCCTCCCATCAAGCCCACTAGCAAATGATGGGGGGGGAAAGGAGATGCAGTGCTCTGCAGGAGGAAAAGGTAAAGGCAGTAGATGCTTGTGTTCTGTGAACATACAGGAGTCGGATGAGCCATTGCCTGGGAAGCACAACAGCGATAACAGCAGCTCTGTAGGGCTTCCTCAGAAGAGCGTCATCTGAGTGCAAAGCTTAGTTGAAATCCATGGTTTCAGCCACCCAAGGGGAAGCAGTGAGTGAAGTCAATTTCAGTGTTCTACAACTGACTTTCGCTGCAGCAGTGTCTTATTATGTCACTGATTTTTGTGGATAGTTCATGGGCAACACAGACATAAACTTCCTGTCTGTTTTTATACTTACTAGCTACTCCAGTGAGAGATTTCTGGGGTACACTGGTTTGACCGTCACAAGTTAGAATTGCAGTCCTCAGGGACTTTGTAAGGTAAGTCTTTAACTGCCTTTCTTGCCTAAAGATCATGCTTGGAGTGTGAGGAAGCCCTCCAAGCAAGGGACCAGTTTGTGCCAAATTGCATGCTTACCCAAGCAGCATGAGATAATGCAGTGTGTTGCAGAGCCACTCAGGTACATCTATTAGGATTCAAATCCTATTTTTCCCTTGTTTGTAGACCAGATTTTCCCTTCCTACCCTAAAAATGCCAGGCAGCAGGTGGAATTTGATGTAAATGTTTGCAAGTCTCCTTTTTCCTTTTTGCTCTACTGTAAGTTGAGGATCAGACAACAGTGGAGCACAGGGCTAGAATGCACTGCAGAGGTCAGCAGATCTTGTTCTGCTCTTGCTTTCCCTAGCAGCAATGCAGTTGTAGAACAAGATTGGTAGACAATAAGTGAATGATCCAAGAGTAGTCACCCAAACTCTCACTCTGTAGCAGAGCACTTCCCAGTGCATGGTGATGTTCAGTTCTGTAACAAAGGATCAAAACCTGGAACCAGACTTCTCTGTGAAGAAAGGAAAGCTATTGTGAAATCCCACCTTGCCAGTGGGGAAACCAGGTTCTTGGGTGGAAGGGGAGCTCTGATGATGCTCTGTTTTCCTTTTCTTTCCTTTCCTCCTGCTTTTCTTGGTGAGAAGAGGTCTAAACTTGCTCAGGTGCCTAGGCATTTAGATCCAGAAGGGGGTACAACCTTGTTTCTCCTGAGTAATGGGCTTTAAGGCATTGGGTTCACCTGCTGAATGTCTGAGAAGTTTCAGCATGGTAACCAGCTGAGATAAGTCAATTTGCTTTGGTTTCTATTATGCTGGAAGGTAATAGAGAGGATAAGAGTGCCTAAGATACTCTACTGGCTCAAACATGAAGGAGCAATAAAGAAAGCCTTCAGAAAACACATGGTGGGGTGGTAGTCCTCTATATTCATCACCCACACTCATGGTCTTTCTCACATCATGATCATTGTGTGATGAGGATCCCCAGATTAGGGGGCTCTTTGATACAGGGTGCTTGGTAAGAATGGCAAAAGAAGACTTTGTTTTCATTGACCTCAGTGCTATGGGTTAGCTCTGTGATAATTCCTGCCTCAAGTCCTGGGTGCTGCATTTGGACCACAGGCCAGAATAATCTAGGCTTGATTTAAAGATATCCCTGCAAGGAAGCCTCCCCACAAGCCTTGGCATGCTGTCCCAGAAGGTAATTACCCTTGCTGTTGAACATTTCTAGCCTGAATCTGCCAAAGAAGCATGGTGCTTCACCTCTGAGCTGGTGTTTCCAGCTGGGCTGGCTCAGGAAGCTGCTCACCTCTGGGATACCACTGCTTTTTGCCAAGAGAAATGAACCTTGGCCAGTGCTGTGTCTCTTTCTTATATGCAATGCCTTGGGGAGAGATAAGAGATTGTGCTGTCTACACAAGGGCTGTGAACCTGCAGTGCCCTGAGAATGAAATCCTGGCTCTGCTCTACCTCGCATTCAAAACAACAGGAGAAAATAACTTCCACTTTCTTCACTTCTGTGGGCTCGGGCTCATGGACAATGATAAGGAGAAATTGCAACAGCCGAGTGGCGAGTGAGCAAGCAAGCCTGAAGAATGTCTCCTTTATCCCTCTGGCCAGCAAAGGCTTAAACAGCAGTGCTGATCACCTGGTTGATTGGAGAGGGCTAAATCCATGCCAGAAGAAACCCTGCTGACAGCAAGGGAAGGAGGGAAGCAAGATAACTTGCGATAAGCTGTGGAAAAGCTGGAAGGACTCTACACCTCCATGTTGAATGGGCTATCCTTTGCCCACCTCATGTAGGATGCAGGCCCTGGGTTGGTGCCTGCTGCTCTGTACATCATTCAGCTGGTGTAGATGCAACACTTGAGAAGAGGTAAATTAGGTCAGCCTGAGCTATGAGGATTCTTTGCTATGGACTTGACTGGCCTCCTTCCAGGGTGCCCAGTTAAGCTCCTGATGTCCAGGTCCCACTTTCTCCAGTCTATTACCTACTTGGCAAATACAGTCTCCCATTATAATTGGGTATTTTTTTCCCCGAGGAGAATTTCCTCCCAAGGTTTTCCTTAAAGACAAGCCAGCAATGTCACTATCCCATGAGAGAAGAGCCCAAGGTTGCACATTTCCCTCTCACATATGTTTTCCTTTTTTTAATCACAGGAATTAGGTAACCATCATCTCACAGACCTATGTGTGCCCTTAATGCTCAATGGGAAGCTCAGCTTAGAATGAGGATACCTGAAAGCCAGTTATGTTATGAGTACATAACACTACTGCTAAAGGTTTGGTTACACTTAGGGATATACTACAGTAAATGGTCCTCTGTCAGTGGAATACTCAACCATGCCTCCCATTGCCTGATGTTTTAATTGAGGCTCTGCTGGTTTGCTCTTTTATTTTGGATTGACTCTTCCTAGATTTCTTTCTCTTGTCTTTCCCCACACCTCAGGGGTTTTTTTATCCCCAGGCATCTGTCAAAATTAACCCAAATTCACTTGGATCCTCGCAAGTGAAATTTTTCTTCTGCTCAAAAGTGTTACTCACAAACTCTCTTCATAAGCTCAGGTTTGTGATATGGCAATTCCAGTGAGTTTGTAGAATTCCACACTTATTTCCTCTTGGTACCAAGAGAGCAAATACTATCTACTTGAACAAGATGCAGTTCAAAACATGTTCTGCAGCACTCAACTGTAGTTTCAAAGTCAAGCCTCACATAAAGCAAAAGTTTCTGTGAGCCAAAATGAGGTGCACTGGAATGTTGAAGGCTTCCTTGTTTCAGCTCCTTTACTGATGCAAATATAGTAAATAATTTGCTGTATAGGTGTAAACTCCTGATCTTTCCCCCTGAGTTGGCTGTGTAGGACAAGGAAAGTTACTTTAAGTGAATGCACCAAGTCTGATTGTGATGCATGCACAGGAAACAGATTTGTTGAATGTGAAGAGGCAAACCTGCCATCTGATAGTAACTGGGCAGGTGGTGATTTGTGATTACTGTTCCCAAGTAGTTGTGAATTATGCACATCCTATTATGTTTGTTAACCCATCTGTCCTGCTTCCCTCCCACTCCTCTGCTTTTATTCTCTTCTCTAAAGCTCTTAACTCTTTCTGTAAGAGGTTGTCATTTAGTCTGTATTTGTACAACTAATATTGCTGAATTATGTCACCAGTGTATTCCCATGTACGTCACATCTTAGTGTGTCCTCCTTGGCCCTGACTGATTATGAGCAAATATTCAGTCTTTGGAAGAGCTGATTTTTCTGTCACTTTGGTTGTACTGATTTGAGAAAGCAGTCTGAATAGCTGGTTTATTTTCCAGCTGAAGGCTATTTTGGAGTTACAGTTGTTCTTTGGGAGGCAGGCTTTGGGATTCAGTGGAGATATCTGAAAAGGAGATATCTTTGCACAGTGTTGATAATTGATGTGTAACAGGGGGCAGGGGGTGCTTGTGTGGGGAGCCATTTGTTTGGAATATGCTTGGGTAACCAGTTTTACTTACACTAGAAGCCAAACTTTAAGGTCCCATGTGTCGACTACCTGTGGGCAGTAGTAAAAATATACTCTTATTCCAGTCTTTTGTTAACAATTCCCAATGCTACTATAGCAGTGGACCTACGATCAGAAAGATATGTGATAAAAGGCTGTGGATATGCAGCCTTTTATCTCTCATCATCTGGAAACCTGAGGTGGCTACTTATGTCAATGTGGATAGGGAGGCCCAGGAGAGAAATAAGGTCAAAGCTTATTCAAAACTAAAAGGGAATAACAGTGTAGGATACAGGAAAACGCAAGGCCCAGGATCCAGCCAGAATTAAAGAGACCAACTTTGTGCACAGTGTCTAAGCCATTAGGAACCAGCAGGGAAGAGCTCCTAAGGTAGGTTCAGACCTGGCACGAGGCAGCTCACAATTGGCTCAACTATGTGCTGGTGCAGATGGTGGCAGCTGCTGTTGTTGAGGTTTCCCCAGCCCACTCTTATTACCTGTTGCCAAATAGAGGGGTGGAAAGAAAAGCAGAAAGTGGTGTGGCTTTTCTAAGCCTCAGCCTTAAGCCAACCTCACCCGGTCATGATGCAGCAATTGGGAAATGGCACTCAGGGCAGTGCATGCAAATCGTCTGAAACAGGATCGGCTCTTTTCCGTCCTGCTCTTTTCCATTGATTTCCATGTTAGCTCTCATTTTTCCCTTGCCTGTGTTTTCCCCTCAGTGTTTGACCTTTCCTCCCCAGTCCCCTGGCCTTTTCTATTCTAAGCCGATAAGAGGAAGCTCAGAGTTGATATGCAGGAATCCCTGGACACAGCTATTTTTTTCATCAGTAGTTAATTTTCCACTTCTTTTATTTCCTTTGAGATTCAATACATCTACTTTCATGCTTCTGTGATTCAGTTTGTGGAGGAGACAGACAAGGAAATGCTGAATAAATCTCTTGCCTTTTCTCTCTCTCAATCCTTTACTCCCATTCCTGCATTGCTCCCTCTCCCTGTCTATCCACTGCTGTTTTAACATCTGGGTTTTTTTTTTGCTCCCTTGGACTCCGGCTTAGGACAATTACAGATGCTGAGAGGGAAGTCAGAGATAGTCATGTTTGGTTGACTAGAAGCTGTTGTGGCTCCAGCCCTCCCAGGATTTCATTGTGTGCGTTTTAAAAAGCGACCACATAGCTTCACTCAGAAGCTTTCTCTGTCCTGCAGCATGCCAGTTCCTGAGGAGTATGCTGTGAAGGTTAGAATGTTCTCCATAAATACCATCCCTTTCAAGGCTTTCATCTTGATGATAGAAGGAAAAGTTTATTAGAGAGGAAAGGCTTCATGCTGTGGAAATGTATCTCCACCAGTAGAAAAATAGGAGGAGGGAGATGGGATTGAAAGGGAGGGGCAGAAGTAGGAGAGAAAATGATCAACATGCCTCTCCTGCAACATTAAGCTCAACCCTTTATGTCTAATTTATCACCTTCCCATATGCCCTGAAACTGAGTAAACACAGGTCCTTGGGCTACTACGTCCCTACTATGTTCCCTGCTGTTCTTTTACTTGGTGCAGAGGCAACAGTTTTCTATTAGGAAATAGTCTGCTTAGTTTCTCTAACAGAGAAAATCACCATCTCATTACTGATAGAGGTTACTAGCTAGCTAAATGCTATTTTATACTAAACCCATGTTTGTAGCATCTGACTGTGTTAAAATAGCTGAAGTCGCAGGCTAACAGTACCTGTCATGTCTGAGGGGAACACGTGTTGATTTCTGAGCAACTGTCTAGTTGTGTGATTTTTAGGAGGCATGTCTGAGGGAGCACATATGGGCAAGGAACTGCCAAATGTGTTTCAAAGTCGTCTGGGAGAAGTCTGCTCAGCAGCCAGACAGGACTCAGACGCTGCATCCAAATAAAAGGAAGCAAATATCATTCAGATTATTAACAGAACATGAGAAGATACAGGATTGTTTCACGCATGTGCTAGAAAGATTTGTGGATACAGTAGTCCAAATGTCCCTCTTTGGAGCCAATGATGATCAAGTCCACAGGGACAGCACAATATGGCAAAGATTAGCATTTGGGCTGTTCAAGAGCTAATAACTTCTCTCATATTTCTCTGATTTCTCTGGTGGTCAGACAGTCTAAGAGGTCAAAATGTAGTTGTTGAAGTGTTCGCTCAAGCTAATACAAACATAGCTGCTTTTTTAAGACCACAGAAAGGAAACTGTTCTTACCCGCCAACTGGTAGGAATATTCACAGCAGTCTCCTATCTACCATAATGGGATGCTAATACTGTGTTTCATAACATAAAGCAATCTCTCATCTCTTTGAAGAGGAGTTCATGTCTGGTTTGGGTGAAATTTAACAGTGACTGCATTTGCAGGACAAAATCAATTTGTATGTGTGTGTGTGTATGTGTATATATATATATATGTGTGTAATGGAAATAGATATCACTTGAGATTGTGAGCTTCGTAAGAAGAGTAGCAAATCCTGGACTGGCAAGATGGGGACTGCTATGATTGACAGTAATGATGCTTCCACTCAGACAGATCTGGGATATCTCAATGCAAGATGAGTCCCAGGGATGAAAGAAATGCAACAAATCAACTGTGAGGTTTCATTGATAGTGATGTAGGGAAACTGAAAGTAAGCAAGAAGCAAGTATAACCTGACCAACCCAGCTAGGGTATTAAGATTCCTTACAAGCTTTTAAAGGATTGGACAAATTAGAGACATGCAGGCTTGCTTTAGGGTGTAGGAGTAACAAAGGGATGTTAGTTAGGTTAGCTTAAGGATGTAGGAATAATAGGATGTAATTTATATTACTTAAGGATGTAGCAGAAGAAAGAAGATTTACATAGCATGGTTTAAGGCTCTAAAAGAAATAGGCTGAAATTAACCACATGAAAAAATTCCCTTAAGTCTTGCAGAATGGTTTTCCAAAGGAAGAAATGATAGTAGCATCAGACCAATTCTCTGAACTAGGCAAGTCACTTTAAGCTCCTGTAGCATCTGGTATGCAGAGGTGGAAACAGGAAAATATGATAATTAGCAGGCTTTGATTGATTTAGCCAGTATATGTTTACTAGTTTAGTTTCTGACCTTTAAGAGTCTTCTGTGTGATGTGTTTTTTTTTGCTGCATATGGTATGTAGTTATGTGTAATGTTACGGGTGAGAAATCAAGCACACAAAAGCCTAGAAAGTAAAGCAAGTGATGATTTCTCTTGTAACATTAACTTAACTGTGTTAAAAATATGTATCAAAGGCCTGTTGAAAAATTGGAAAGGGTTCAGATAGGAGCCCACCGGAATGATGCAAAGTTTGGAAATCTGCCTCAGAATGAAAGACTTAGGAAACTCAGTCTGTTTTAAAGAAGACTGAGAAGGATCATCACCATAGGCCCTGCTCACCTGTTTTGGAAGATTTCAGTTATTCTGGCAGAGAACAGGCTGACAAGACCTGATTTGTACAAAAGAAGGGCAAGGAGTAAAGCATTCAATGGTGAGGATAACTTTCCGTTGGGATGGAACAACAGGAGAAATGATAACTTGCCCATGTATCAGATTTCCAAATTAAGGCTGGCCTGTGGTCTGAAAGATTGATTGTAGCTCAGAAGCAGGCACTTCAATACAGAAATGTTTAGTTGAAGTTCAATGGTCATTGTTAGGTAATCAGTCAAAATCATAAGCATTTCTTCTACTCTTGATGTATGAATTTGTGCTTGCATAAAGCATATGGTAATTCAGGAATAATGTGGGTAGCTATCAAATTGGGAAGTTTTCTATTTTCTCACAAAGCTTGGCAACTGTTTTGTCTTCAGGGGTTAGGGGGAGAATGCACACATGAATATGTTCCTCCCTCAAGTCCTCTTTCCAGCACACCATTACTTCCAGAACCTGACATCAGTATTTCCCTTGCTCGAAATGTCTGTCTGGTCCATGTGCAAGGACGGACATCGTCCTTCCTGGAACTGAAATACCATACTTTCACTTTCAGGACTTCCAGGAACATGTCCTGAAACAGAAGTAGTGATACACCTAGGGCCTGGGCTGTAAAGAATCTTCCACTGGGGACAGGACTGCTGCACAGCAGAAAGGTGTTTAATGTCTAGGAGGTGCTGTGCCTCAGGCACAGGGGATAGTTTGTATGAAATAGGCCCCTGTATCTCTACAGAGTGGCTGCCACAGCAGGTAGAAGGAGCACTGCTAAGAAAAAGGGGCTTGTGTGAAAAAAAGCACAAGTACACCAGTGTTCATGCGGAGGTAGCGAAGCTGGACAAGTGGAATTGGAGGCGAGTTAGGGTACCACAAAGGAAGGATGTAAAATTTGAGTGGTTGAGAAATGATGCTGAAATACATTTTTCCATTAAGAAATAAGAAGGGTAAGTGAATGGGTGGGAAAAAGTAGGAGGTTGTCGAAGAGTGTTATTAAGGAAGTCGTGTTTTTCTACACAGAACTTGTCACTGAATTTAAAACACATTAGTCTCTCATTTCTCCCTCTGGGTCTTGTGTGCTTCCAAGGTCTCTGCTACCTCAGCAGGAACCTTTCCAAATGCAGCTCATGTTCTGGGCCTTCAGAGGAGAGCAAAATCATTTTGCAAAATATTCCTCTTCTATTAAGGCTCTGGCTTTCCTCTAGGTCTTTTACATAGAGATTCTTCCTTTTCCCACTCAGATTAGATGATGACCTGCACTGGAAAGAAATAAGTTTGGCGAAAGACATCCAGCAGTGGAGAGAAAGCCTGGACATACGCCTGTCAACAGGAGAAGTGAAAGATCACTTGTGGAAGGAAGGCAAGTGCTTTCAAAATAAGGGCTGTGCTTTTAACAAGAGATGAATGGGACACTTGGTCCTTGCAGCCTTCCTCAAGGGCTAAATCCTCAGGCTAAGAGAAAATGGAAATTGCCTTTCCCCATTTCAAATGTCTCTCTCCTGTTTTGGAATAAAAGGTTAAAATACAATTTTCACAGCAGCAGCTTGAGGCACTACAGGGATTCATGGGAACTCTAGTTTTGGGCATCATTTTTCTCCTGCCTGCCATTCTGTCTTCTGGTGCCTGTCCCATAACTCCAAGGACTAGCAGCTGGTGTTGCTCTTGGGCTGAGTCTGATCAGTCTGGCTGTCTTTACTCTGATGGATAACTCCTGGACCCATTTAAACTAGCTACCATTAATGCTTTGGACCTGTCATAGACATGCACAGTGATTTGGGAGACTTCTATCATCCTTCATTTTTGTTTTTAAAGCAGAGTCCCTAATTTTAACATAGAAATGGTACTGTCTGTCACATTTATCCCTTTTTGGCAGTGGTCTGTAAATTAACGTATAAGAATATGATCTCTTATCCCAAGGCCATTTCTACTTTCCTTACAAGCTCTCTCTGCTGCAGAGGGACAGAATATGCCCAGCAGCTGAGCCAAGAGGGATGGTATGATTCCCTCCTCTCCTTTAGAAAAGAAATAAAAGACACATCATAGGGGTCCAGAGGAGGAGGGAGAAGGCTCTTTTTTAACTAGCACAGAAGGATTGGCATGTGAAATAAGCTGCCAGGGCAAAAGCTGCTGTTTCTGGGTGATAAGCCACCCAGCTAGTCAACTGGGAGGGTGTCCTGGAGAATAAAGGCCTTTCTAGTTTGGCATGCTGAGAGTCAGGGTGATGAAACAGCTGGCAGACTTATTAACAAGCCCGTGCCATACTCAACCAGAGCTGGCAGCAGGACTGTAAGAAGTAAGACTGGTGTGTATATAAAAAGTATAGGTCCTTCTGTAGGGAAGAGAGGACCGGGGGGGGGGGGGGGGGGGGCTTGGTAGAACACAGAGTTGAGAAGAGGAAAGCTGAGTGTACCTATGGGGAAGTGAATGGGAGAGGAGAGGAAGTATGCGGTAAGATGGGATAAAACTTTACTGCAAGTGCAGGTGGTGTCAGTGTAAAGGAAAAATAGAAAACATTCCCTTAGCTGTGACTAAATATTCTCAGTAAGGTATGCAGCTCCATTCCCTGCTTCCTTGGTTACTCATTGGTACCACCTCCACATGACTCTGCTTTGCTCATATAGCTACTTTCCCTGTTGGTGAGGAGGCAAAGGAGGATCTCGGTCTCTCCCTGCCCTGGTGGTGCTCTCATCTTCTCTGCCTGTATCTCATTTGAGTGCAGCTATAGGACAGACCCTGCAAATGCAAATGTCACAACCCCTTGTCAGAAGAGACTCATATTCCTTAATGTGCCTGCTCCAGAATTACTACCTTTGGATTGAATCCTAAAGGCTTTATTCATTCAAAATTTTCAGCATCTTGGAATGATGTTTTGCCTGAGTAGCAAACTGCAGGATTTTGCCCATTTTTCATCTTAAGTAATTCTACAGAAATGACATTATTTAGAGTGCTCAGCCATGGCTTGCATACATCCCTACCAGAGCTGTGATTTTTAGCTACTCTTACCAAGAAGTCGTACCAGAGGATGGTAAACTTGTGGAGGGGAAGTCTCCACAGGAAAATAAGAATCTGCAGAATGGTGATGGATTTTTCCTGCTTACAGTGGGCAGGTAATCCATGAGGCAGTCAGGCAAATAGCAACATGGACATAAATTTGAATGTATTTTTTCTTTGCTTCTGACAGGAATCCTTGTATTTACAGTATTAGATGAGTTTTCTGAATGCAGTTAGGTTTGAAGGAATCTGCAGTGCCTTCCCTATCTGAATGGATGTGTAGCTTAAATCCTTTAGTCAGCTGGAGAATTACCAAAGGAAGTGAGACATGGACTTTGATAGCTCTGTATCCTGCCTTGAACAAAGGGCAACATTTACTATTTCAGCAGAAATTGCAAGAACATGGAATAATCTACCAAAAAGACAGTTGCTGCTTGACTGGTGAAAGAGTTATGTGAACTAGTAAAAATGTCATCTCCTCTCTAACCTGAATGGGGGTGCTTTTACTGGCAACATCTAATATCCTTGTAATTTACTTGATCCTTGGCTTTGTCCAGCAGCGAGTTCCAGAGATAATACACTGAGAGCTGGCTTTTTTCATATCGGCTAAAAATCTTCTTATACTTGTGAACTACTGAGAGCATCAGGGAATTGGTAAGAGATGAAGGCTGTGATACACCAGTTTGCTCTAATTGTCTTTCTTGGTGGCTAGCCCCAGGAAAGGTGAGAAGTGGCTGATTATTCCCTTAGCTCCAGTGGTTAAGGGCTTAGGGCAAAAGGGTCAGCCCTTGACAAGCAAGTGTTATCACTGCTTGTGCTAGCTGCAGCCTACAATAGCTGCACTTGTGCAAGTGAGATGTCTGGCAGGTCTGTACATAGGTTGCAGCAAGAGACCTGGCAACTGGGAGGCCCAGTAAAGGAGGAACTTTCATATTACACTGATTTACTGCAAACTACCAGGATGCAACAGTAAACTCTTTCACTCTTTTCACATTACTCTTATTTATTCTTAACATCCAATACTTTGGCTGTCATTCTTTAATCAAGATTTCTTCTAGACCTGTCCGAATTGCTTGGGGAAAACCCTGGGTAAATATTGTTATTAGTTAAGTAATAAGACACAACAGGGTGTGAAATATTACCCTATAACTCATGCCTACTCTATAGCAGTATGTTGAGTGGCACAAGGCCAAATGGCTTTGTGTGTTATATTTTTAGTTAAATCAAATTAAAAAGACACCAGCGAAGTGTCTGTGGCTGTTTAAAACATGGCCATGATGGTAGGGGGAAGAAGGGAGAAGCTTAATTTAATAAAGTTGTGCTGTCAATTGCTCACTTTTCAATTTAGTGAACGGTGAAAAGTACTAAGTGAAGAGCCCAGGAGATAGGTGTCCTTCATTTGTCTAAAGGACAGATTGGACAGAAGCAGCAGCAGCATGAGCTCTGCCATCATTCCTTGGCAGCAGGCTTGCATGTTCCACCTCTGGTGGCTTAAAAGGGTCCATTTGCAAGATCCCATTCAAACTTTGCTCACTCCAAGTGAGCTGCTGTTAACTGTGGCTTAATAAGGTGCTTCCAGGGCCATAAGTTGCCTTGGGGGCATATGGAAAATTGGACGACTGATCGAGGCTACCACTTGTAAAACCACCAGGCAGGTTTTCTACTGATGACTTGAGATTCCAGCCAGTTCCCTGGACCAGACTCAGCCTCTGTATAAGTCAGATGGTGCTGTCTCATTTGTGCTCAAATGGCAGGGAAAAGCCATCCTTAAATGAGTTAGCATGGAGGCCAGTGTTGTACGCTAAAGGACCTGTGTTAACTGTTTTCTAACTTGTTGGGCATTAGGAGTCACATCTACAACCCTCTTTTCTAATTCAGCTTTATATACCACAGCATGCAGTCTCAGCCTCACAGGATGGGGTGCTTTGGCTGAGGTTGTCAGGGCTGCACTTTGACTGCAGAGAAGAACTGGCCTTCTCTGAGTTCTCACTTCTGTTTTAGTTTAGAATGACCTTTTGATGAGCGAACGGGTCCCTATCTCTTGCTCTATTTCATAGCCCATTTGCTAGGGGCAGGAGGCTGTTTCCAGGAAGCAGCAAGTGCCTCCTGTGTTGGCTAAATAGTGTATGGGGCTTTTCAGGAACAAACGCTTTGCACTGCAAGGAAATTATTACATTTTCCAATGATCTCTCTTTTTTTTGCTTGCTTTATACAGAGAGCTGCTGTTGTGTCCCTTACCCAAGGCCCATTAGCTACCCAGCAGCTTCAGATTCAGACAGTCAGGCTAGAAATGTAGAGAACCATATAAAAAGATGCTCATTAATCCTTATTTGGTTCCTCCCATAGGCATTTTCCTTACATGCCCAGCATTTCTCACATCCTGGACTCCCTATGCAACAGGAGGCTTCAATTTGCTTTAGCCTTTAAAGATCCAAGCGGGTTTTATTTGTGGAGCTTGCTGTGCTGCTTATTCTCTGATGTGGGGGGGGAAATCTAGCCTAGTAAGACTAGAGAAGGCAAGTAGCCTTGATTTTTCCCTTTCCCATAGAAAATACCTTTCTGTACAAAAGAATATGAAGGCTAAAAACGTGCTTCCTCATTGTGGTTTGAGCCTGGGACAATTCTCAGAGCAATACAGCGTCCTTTGCATGTGCTCACGTGTGTACGTTGGCTTGTAGTTAGCACAGAGATACATCAATATTCCTGATGACAATAAATACAGCTATTAGGATGAGTTGAGAGCTTATCTTAATTGGGTAACAGATGAGCAGGCGTATGTTGCTGTTGAATCCATCAGCATTAACTGGGCAGAGGTAAGTTTGATCAATACTGACACTTGAGTGCATGGGTAGCCACTGGAAAATATTAATTTACAATCATGACCGGCACCTCTCATTAACCAGAAATGTGTTAACCCTAATTGGTTCAACAGGCCCCTGCTGCACCGCATTGTGCTGCTCACAGTCTGTCTTCTAGTGCCTCAGCCAGAGTTTTCTACTGATGAGAACTCAATGCTCAAGTTTGTGCTTTGTGTGGCCAAGCTGGCAGCTGTATTGCAGCATCCGTCAGGCCAGGAAGGTATCCAGTGCACACCCACCTGGGTATACAGCCCATATGTCTGTGTAGACATGGAGAACTACCTATTTGTGTGTTCATACCTTATGGCCTACTTGAATAGGAGCAAAGCTGAGTAGGAGAGTCACTGATTTATACCATCTGCAAGTCTGTGCCACAAATCCATAAGCATTCATATGCCTTTATGTCTGTGCATTAACTTGGTGGTTGCATGCAGAGTTGGACTGAGTACACTTGTGGTAGCATTAGGTTGGCCTCAACACTGTCAGGGTATGTAAACAACACTGCTCTTAATGGCAAAACTGTATATAAATGTGTGTGTGTGTGTGTGTATGGAATACTTATGAGGGTGTGTGAAAAATGCTTCTTGTGCTATAATGCCAGCAATGGCAATTTGTTTTTTCTACCACAACAAAATCCTCACCGCCATCCATTCAAAGCAGTCATCTTTGGCATGGGCCATAAATATGCATAGTGTATATACAAATATGAGCTGCAGGAGTTGAAATCATCTTGTAATTAAGGTCCACGCCTGTCAGTAAGTGAAGCTGAATTTCCTGGTAGAACTTTCGTATTTATGGAGATAAATCTGCTATCCACATCCACCAAGGAAAGAATGAGAAGTGATGGGCTTAAATTGCAGCAAGAAGATCTAGGTTACGCATTAGGAATAACTTTCTAGCAGTAAGAATAGTTAAGCACTAAAATAGATTGCCTGAGAAGGGTATTGAATTTCTTCTTTGAAGTTTTCACAAAATAACCCCAAGTTGGATAAATATCTGTTGGGACTAGTTAAAGCCAGAAAAGGGTCTTTACATCTTTTGGAATGCTTTCCACCTATGTTTTCTCATGCCTTTAGGAGTACAGATGTGTCTCCACTCCTTCAGCAGAACGTGGTTGGATGTCAGCACTGCTTATGCTTATAGCAACCTCATTTGCTATGAACTTATCGGTAAACTCAGCTGGCCTTAATCTCTGTCCTCTGTTTTAATGGTCAAGTTTAAGCAATGGCCTTTGCCAGTCATAACTTGGCTGTCTTTCTGTGATATCCTGTGAGCTGCAATGAAAGATGCTGTGCAGAAGGAAGCAATTTTTTAGTCAAATGAATTTCAAGATCAAGAGAGCTTTTTTCTTTTCAAAACTTTCTTGTACTTGTGGCTTCTCAACTCCTTCATCTTTCTCTTTTTTTCTTTTAGTAGTGAAGGGTATTATGAAACTTTCAGTAAAAATTCAATCCAAATATATGAACAGATAAGAATATTTGGTTCTTGCCCTGTTACCTGGACCATGCCCTAGATGCTTGGCTTCTAGTGTGCTTCTTCAGATTGTCCAGTCCCTCCAGAGTCCCCAGCAATGGGAGGGAGCTCACATGTCTATACCACAATTACGTACTTCCCAAAGCATTTGACTTCAGAAGAGAAAAAAAGCTATTGCATCTGTGTGATTTCATAGAATAATAAAGTTCCCTTTTCCCTTGTGTGTATCAAAAACTTGATGCTCTCATCTGAAGTTAAAAAGCTGATTTGTTACCACCAAAGACGACACTATGAGGGGCTGCCTGAAACCCAGGGAATGTGAAGAAGCACAGCAACAGGTAAAGAAACATATTCCAGTAGCTGATCATTTGTGTGTATAAATAATTCCAGTGAGGTTGTCTGAAGGATTTATTGTCGAGCAAAAAGATTAAATGAAAAGGAACAGCTGTTGGTTTGTTCGAATGCTTCCATAGTGAATGAGTTTGGCATTTGAAGATTGAGAAACAAGGGCTCTTATATCTAACTCTTACTGACCTGTAGCCTGGATACTTGGTATTTATAATGTTTGTACCAACACTGTTTCTTGGAGCATCTTCCACAGAAGCACCATGGGGAGTTTTCTGACAGTTTTCATCAGAGACTTCCAATTTGTTGAAATACAAGAATGAACTGGTTAGGTTTAAACGTAACTTATGCTTGGAAGGGGGTTTTGGTCTCAGCTGCAAATTTTTGATGAAAGACCAGCTGGACCTGAGTACCAAACAGCATGGCGGCCAAGGGTTTAACCAAGAAAGCTGGAAGTCACATAAAAGCCCCCATTTTGCTTCTGTTCCAAACAGCCATAGCTTTTCTCAGGTAAGGGGTTTGGGGATGCTTTGCCAGTTGAAGCTCACTCTTAGTTTTGGGGGGGGGGGGGGCTATTACACTTTCTATCAACTGTCTCCATAGTCCTGAAGAGGGGAGGAGGTTGGTTGTGTAGGCCTGCTGGAGCATTCACTTGGAATGTGGGAAATAGGAAATACAGAGCAAGAACTAGAACCTGGCCAATCCAGCCAGACGTTCACCTATTTGTTGAGCTTGAATCATTCCTTCTTGGTTTTTTGGTTGCAATTTTGCCAGGTCTTGGTCTTTTCCACTCCAGTGGTAATAACTCAATGATGTCTGACTCAGAAGCCAAGCAGCCCCAGTATACCTGATGTGGAATTTATGCTGAGGTGTCTTCTCTGATTGACCCTTGCAACTCTGCAAGTGGAAAGTTCCGCAGAATATGTAAAAGCCATAAAGTTTGTTGTGATCATTTGTTCAGCTTCGCTCTATCAGCACCCTACTGACCTTATCTGGATGCCTTATGCTGTCCAAAGAGGTTTTGGTGGACAGTGTACATGAAATCGCAGTGATGGGAGATGCATGTGAGTGTGTTGTAGACAACCTATAGTTTTCTGGTTCTCATATACCACTCTGTTCCTACAGAACTTCATAACTTGTGAAAGGGAGACCATCTTTAGGGTCACCATCTTGATGGGTCACCATCTTCACCTCTTTCAGGGGAACTCCAGAGGTTCTTAAGGGTCTGGGAATGCTGCATTGTGTGTGTTGGGGCCACTCGCATGATGCCCGTTGGATGTTCTAAAACGGTCAGAGAGCTTGATGTCAGAGGTGCTGGCAGAAAGGACTAAGAAGAATGCAGACACTGTAGCTTTGTCCTGAGCATGCCTTACCTCCAGCTGTATAATATGTAGTGTGGAATGAAAATTTTTGGCAATCTGAGAGATAAAAATGTATGGAATCAGCATTTTCTGGGGCTATCTCTAGCCTTTTGTTCTCTTTCAGAGCAACACTTACTTTAAGAACAGTTAAAGCAGACAAGGCATTGGTATTTGGGATAGTGAGAAGGGAAGAGATAAAATCTCATGCAAACAGGTGTTGGCAGTCAATGAGATTGTACTTCCTTTTCCATGGGCTGGACCTGGCATCAAGTCTTACAAGCTTTGAGATTTATTACTGGTCTGACTTGATCTGTGACACAAGATTTATGGCCAGGCTGAAACTGCCCAGAAATAGTACTTCTCTCACTTTGTACCAGCACTAAATCTATTCAACAGAAAAATGCTCACTCGGTCAGGAATGCTTAAATGGAGACGCTCAAATGGACATGACTCAAACCAGGGAGCTCAACTATCTCTATGGTAGAGATACAAAGTTCAAAGGAAAGCCCTGTGTCCACACAAGGGGCCTAGCAAATGTCTCCCTGAAGGAGTTGCAGAGTGAGAGGAATCCCAGGTACTCAGAGCCAGGTTGAGCATTGCAAGAGTGTTCACACCTTCCTCTTACATAGAAGGGCCATGGATGACAGAGCTCAGGAGGCCGGGGACTTGCCTTTCTGGCTCTTCTGATATGTTTATTATTAACTGGTCACCTGAAAGGATTTATGGTGGAGACATGAGAGCTGCTCTTCCATTGGCTATTGAATTGAAAGCTCTCTCCAATGAGCACCACACTGTTTATCTAATTTTCACCCCAATTCCTCTTTATACAGGCTCAGAATTTTAATTCAGGTGTGATTCAGATGCCCTAGAACTGACATTTCTGTGTTTTACAATGCTTTTGTTAGTGCTAGAGCTACAGAATTATGGACACTTTATTGATCAGCCCAGAAGTCCTTGTACACACCAGCCATTCCAAAACAGATGGAACACCATCCTCTGTGATTCCCAATCTTCCATTCAAGGCAAAAATTGTCTTATGCAGTTGTAGAAATCTAGCGTGACCTTTTCTCTCTCACCTCTCCTCTGGGACTCTAGATGCTCCGGTAAAGTTGTATATTCACAGATGCAGATGTGTGACCATTTCTCCAAGCCAAGGAAGCAGGTCATTCCCTTTCAACCCTGATAGTGGGAGATATGGGATCTGGGCTTTGTTTTCTGACTACTTTAGGTAGCTGCAGGCTACTGTTTGATGAAAGGATAGAAGCCAGGGCAGGTAAAGAAGAGTAGAGCAGTTCTTCTACTCCTAAGTGTAGAGACTGCCTGATGTGGATTTTCTGAGCTGCTGTGCTCTTAGTCCACTTGAGCTGACAACTGCATTTCCACTCACAGTGTGGCTTAACTGAGTGGGATTTTATTTCCTGAGTGCACAATAAAAAGCACAAAGGTTACCACATCTGTTAAATCCCAGGAAGAAGGGAGAGAGAAAGAAACTTCCACTGTGCACAGTTCATGTCTGGGGTGACAGAGAATAGGCAAAGGATCATAGAGGGCTTCAAAGCAATTTATTGCCTCTTCTTCATCATTACTGATATTTCCAGAGCACACAAACAACAACTGCAACCAATCCAACTCCATTGCTACCCTTTTGTTGTTGTTTTTCTGTTGGCTTCACCACTTCTTTCATCTGCTTTTTGGGTGATTTTTTTTTTTTTTCCACTACATTATTTTGTGTCGCTTTAGATTGCCCAGAGACCCCCTGGTTGCTGTAGAAGGTGGCAGTTCCTGAGCAGCTAAGAACAACAGTCAAATAGAATGACAGAAGCACAAAAGAGGAGGGAAGGGAAGCCCTTCAGAGCTGTAATTTCACTTCTCTTTTTGTTTTGCCTGGTTACAGGGGCAATAGAAAGAGGAGAAAAATGACAACAGACTGCTCTGCTTCTAATGACACCAAAAGGTTTGAATCTGACACTGATGGGGAACTTTGAGAAGCCACTATTAATTCTCTCAATTCTTCCTTTCCCTCTGCCCTCCCTCTGTACCTCAGGCACAGGACTGAAGAAAAGATGCCACAGCAGGTAGCTGTTGCCCAGGAATGGAGTAGCAAATTCGTCTCCATCTATAGCCCTGGAATATTGCCTGACAAGCAAAAGAAAAATATGAGGCGAGTTAACATTACTGCTATATTGAATAACCAGCACAAGGACTCGAGTTTTCTGAGGTTACATTCTCCAACATGACCTCCAGCAAGTCTGTAAACCTGTTGGAGAGATTCCATGTTTTCCAAGGTCAACTGAAGCACTGCCTACATTGAGGAAGCTGGCACAAATGTAATTACGTCGATAGAGAGCGTGTTTTCTTAATGTAAAAAGGGCCTTGCTCTCCTTTCAGGAATGACTCTTGCATATAGAGCTTCCTGAAGGTAAAACAATGAATAAAACAGATGTGGAGTTTACAGATACAGCTTGTTTTCTTCCATTTTTGTGGAGAAACTTTCGAAGGCTTTAAAGAAACAGGGAAAATTTTTTTTTTTTTTTTTTGCTTTTACAAGACTTTTATTTCTAAAAAATGTTTTCCAAAAGACATAATTTTCCTCCGGAAGCATTTTTCTCTGACAAGTGATCCAGTCATGCCAAATTTCAGGAAGAAAAGATGTTTATTGAGAAGTTTAGGCACAATTATAAATGGAGATGTGAATGCAAATTCACTGTTCTACCTTGAATGTTCTGACTCACTAGATGTGTAGGTTCTTCAGATTACCTGCTGTGTACAGAAGATCTCTTTGCTTTTGCAGAGGTCTAAAGGGAAAAGGGAAGCATTAGGATCTGAGGATGCTACGTTTATCAATTTCAACTTTGTTTCTCCTCCAGGATTTACTCTCCAAATGGGAGGTGAAGCCAAACTCTGAATGTGTCAGGGGTCTGCTGTCTCTTCAAGTAGCGGGTGAGGAGCTGCCATTCTCCTTTACCTGCTTCAAATATTAGTACTCCACAAGCTGGATTCAGCTCCATATTCATCCACTTGAATGTGGCTGGTGCCTAGATTGACAAGCAGGAGTAGCCTCTGGTTGAATCACAATGTACTTGTCTTCAGACAGCATGAACCAAAGGATGATGAAACATGTTACTACAGTCGTTCTTTTGTAGGCAGGGCAGCGCTGGCAATGAAACCGTATTTTTCAGTGGTAATGATAATTGGAACTTGAAGATCAAGAGGCTGGAGGGTGTTTTTTTCATGAATGCTAACAAGTGGTGTTGACTGTGGTAAAAACAACAGGATGAACTGTAACTATAGCTCCTGGAAAGTCTTCGGTTTGCAGTTGAATTCAAGTTGTCTGATGTTTCCTCATTTTCTTAGTGGCAACAGAACTAGCTGAACACCATACCTCTAAATCTACTGACAATGATAGATACAGCTGAAGATTTCTTTACGTGCTTGAATAGACTATTTTTGGTGGTCATTCATAGCTGCCAACTTGAATAACAATACCAATATATTCTCAAGTGGTCTATTTGATTGGAGCAGCCACAGACAGCTATATGCCAGACATTGCTCCAGGAGAGAGAGAGTGTTGGGTCCTGCTTTCCTTAGCTGATCCCTGACTTCGTGCTTCTTGAAACTAGCCTGAGCTCAGCGATACCTCAGTAAACATCCTTGCTCTACAGGGTCAGTTATGATACTGGACTGTCATTCACTTATCTCATCTAAATGACCTTCACAATAATTGTCCTTTTAGGAAAGGCTTTATTTTCTGTTGTAGACCCCATATAGTGTCAACCTGAACCCATCTAATGCAACTGTGCCATTGCTACTTTGGTCCTCTATTTTTTCATGTTTAATGTGGAATTTTCTATACCAATGAACCAATGAAGGATTTGGTTGATGTTAGTTGTAGCCCAGCTTTTGTCATGGTGATGCTAGTTTATCCATCCACTCATTATAACATTACCACTGTCTTTCATATCCTTAATAATCTCTGTTTCTCCAAATTTAGTGGCTGATGGAAAAGGATAACAAAGGATCTCTTTAGTGGAGGTATATAAACTGGTTCCTGGCTGTCTAGAGGCAGTCTGAGCTTTGCTTGCTTCTCCTGAGGTGCTTTTGAAATTAGAGTGACTGAGTGCCTTTTTCCTATCTCTGTGACCTGTATGTAGGATGGTGCTGGAGAAGATCATCTACAGTTCAGTTTATCTCCTACTAAAGCAGACTGTATGCCAGGTAACTACTTTTCACCATGTCAGCCAATCAGTCGTGTTGACATGTCACCTTTGTGACAGCTACTTTATAGAGATAACAGGATACTGGTACCCAATTAGATTTGGCTGATAACAATGCCACACTGTGTCCAACAGGGAGAAGGCATACACCCACAGCTTGACAACAATAACCTAATTGAAATGTCAAAGCCTGTAGAGGCTGCTGTAGTGTTGTACTATAGGTAATACAATATGTACAGCCCTGTAAGGGGTCACTGACATACAAGGCACTAGACTGTCTTTGAAGGTCCCTTCCAACCCAAGCCATGCTACGTGCCAACACGTTTACCAAGCATTAATCTGGTCACAACCTATGCTCAGAAAATGAAGCAAGAACAAAATGTCTAATGGCTGATACCTCTTCCCTCACAGGAGGTAGGGGAGCAGATACTCTGTCCACATCATACTTGCCTTTACTGTGACAGAGAAGCATGGACTGATTTGTGCCATGTCCCTGTATGGGTAACTTTCTCTCATGTGCCTCTCAAAGATAGGGAAATGAAAGAGGCTGCAAACAGCATAATTTTTCTGGCCAGTGCTAAAGCCCTGTGTGCAGAGTCACCTCACACGTACTCGGAGAACAGCCAAGCGTGGCTGCTCAGAGTGGGTGTTCTAAATCATTCTAACCTTTCACAATGTTTTCAGTTTGCTACTTAGAGAAAAAAAAAACTATTTCATTTCTACTTGTGAATTTTCTGTCTTTACACGCTGGTGCACCCTTTGCAGAGGCAGGAGTACAAACGCACACTCTGGCGACAGGTTATTTTCTCCAGGATAAAAACGAAAGTATTCCCCATAGTTTTTCTGGACCAGGGATGCAAAAATGCTGGTGTTCTGCCTTTGCTATTCTTTTGCCATCCTTTTCTCTACAGTGAGGAATGTCCCTATCTTGTGATTAATCCTCAGGAGTCCACTGTGAGGTGAAGGTCTTTCCAGTTATTTTGTCTTGACTTAGAGAAAGTCTTGAATTAACTGTTAAAATCTGGTCATCTGTCTAGAAATGCTTTTCTAAACCCTACCTGTGTAAGTGCTTTATATCTAACAACTGACATGGAAAATGTTTCATACACTTCCTTGTGTGCACATACATCTCCTTCATTATTTCTGTATGTACAGTTGCTATAGGCTGAGTTGCGCATAGGAATATGGATGGTATAGGTAGTTGTCCCTCCACAGGACTCCCCTAAGCAGGTTTTTATCCTGGCTTCTGAAATGGCACCAAAGCTGGTTTGTCTTCATCAGCCCTGGCAGGTAAATCATATTCACAGTAGTAAAGCTGCACTCATAGCTGACAGTGGGGTATATTTTTCATTGTAGCAAAGGAAGGAGGCCTCCTGCTTCCCTGTAAATTGAATAGTGTATCTGTTTCAAATGATGGGACAAGCAAATAGACAAAGTAATCTGGGGCATGTGCTAGATGGAGCTGCTGTTCATGCTCAAGGTAGCCTGTATGATACCTCTGCCTGCGAAGTCTCCCTCTTCTCTCTTTGCTGCCTGAAAGACTTGTGACTCCAAGCCTGTCACTTACAGAGACTTGCCCTATTCTGTGATGCTCTTGTGGTATTTTGAGGTTTTCATGTTCAAACTCAAAAGGAAATTAATATTTTCCTCCCACTGGTGGAGAAAAGCATCACTTCTGGTTTCATATGGAGGTTTTGAAGGCTTAGCTTGATTTGGGGACAAAGGCAAGGGACTCCTCCCTCCTGTTTTCATTTGGGGGCTGGAGTGACTCAGGGCACAGGCTCATGGGTCCATATATAGAACAGCTTGGCACAGAGTTGTGGTTACGGTCATCCTGTGACCACAAAGTGTCAGTTTAACCTCACAGTTGCTTCGCACCTCCCCTGAACAGTGGGTTTTGTTTTGTAGGGCACGTGCTTCTCAAGCAAAGCTGAATAAAGGAACGTGTTCTTCTGGCTTTAACTTTGTCTCATGGAATTTCAGTTTTTAGAGCTGTACCGTCACAAACAGATTATAGTGGTTCCTGTTGGGGTGTTGAGCTCTTTGAGATGCACTGTTGTTTCCATCACTGTGTGTGTATGGGGAAGCTGGAGGTCGGTAAGGGGCAGAGATGCAGAGGTGGCTGGTCCCAAAGTGGTCCAGGAGTAAAAAGGAAAAGGGGAGAAGATGCTTGCTTGCTCCCCCAGACTGGGGATGGAAGGTACCTGAGACACAGAAATCTGTCAAGGTAGTAACTAATAATAATTAATAATTTATTGCACATAAATAGCTTTTTCCTCATGGTTTCCAAAAGCTCTTTACAGACTATATATAGCGACTGCATTACAGTGTGGTGTGTGCTTTTCAGCAGCATGGTTTAGGAATAGCCCTGCTGCTGAGGCACAGTGGAGCCTGGCCAGCCCAGAAGAACACTGGCAAAATATTTCCACCTTCTCAATCCTGCCTGCACGTTTCACTGTTTAGGAGGAGGAGGGGGAAGTGCCCTGGAACAATGATTTGAGGAGTAGTGGAAAGGCAGAGTTTTGTATAGGTGTAATTTCTTCCTGCCTTTCAAGACAGGCTGTCCCAGTAAATTCAATTGCATAGACCTTGAGTGAAGAAGAAGGACGGGGGCTGGAAGGAAACAAATGCATTTTAGAAAGTCTATGATAATGACTTAAAATTGCTTTTCCTCATAATTACAATTTTGAGAGCTGACAGATAAGCCGAGCACTAGATGCTGATGGCTCATAGAACATGTGGTCTTAAACACTGACTGTTATACACTAATTCTTGCTTATCCTTGGATCTGTTTAATTCAGAAAGGTGATGATGGTGATGTTCATAAAGGCAGGTGAGGGAGAGTAAAGTAGTGGGAGCAGCAAAGGTAAGCACCCAAAAAGAGCAAGCTAGCTGACAAACACACTGCCATGCAAATGTACCCTTTTGCCATTGCATCTGGATCTTCTCATCTCTGCCCCAAAACGCTGCCTTCACCTCCGGGAAGGATGCATACAGCAGGTGTCCAAAGGGCAGAGCTCAGCACTACAGGACAGGACATGAAGAAGTGTAAGCCTCACTGAGAAGACTTTGGGGAGTATAATGCTAGTAACAAAGCAGTTAAAAGAGCTGAGCAAACAAACGATAAATAATATAGTAGGAGTTGGTGTAGGGAACCTCCTTAGGGAAGTGGGCCCATAGGCCAGTCTCAAGTTCCCCAAACCTGAATAAGAGAAACCCTACCTCACACAACCACCCAGGGC